GAGTAATCCTCCAAAAAAAAAAAAAAAAACTGTCTGAGAAATGAATGGTGGAAACATTTTAAAAAAGCTACGAGCACATTTGCCGTTAACAAAGACAACACTGAAAAAATCAACTTCAACGATATCAGCTGCCTCATAATCCAAAGCAGAATACAGCTGAAAATGCAAGAAGAAAAGCTGAAACAGATAGCTGTGCCGATCAATTGAGGTTAAGACTTACGCAGATGAATCAATGAGTACCAGTAAAATGCATTATTGAAATGTGACGTTTCAATCAAAAAGCACAAAGAGTGCAAAACGCATCCCAAATGATCAATAACCACATTGTGCTTTAGCAGAGAAAGCGACGAATGAGATACTGAGCATAGTGCGTGCAGAGCAGAAAAAATTGAAAAAAAATTAAATAATACATTTTTCTGCATCATACAAACACCACACGATATTGTTAGAGACTGCATTTGTTTCAATAAATCCTCCACACAGAGACACTCAGGGAAGAAAAATCGTCCTGTAAAGGGTTTAAAAAGCATAAATGTAAAGAACCACAAGAAACTGTGCCATTCAAGCCGCCAGAATAAGAGAAAGTAAAAAAATGTCAACGACTCAAAATTAGTGCTGGAAAATTTACTCTGAAGCCCTCTAATAAAAGAAAATCTGAAAAGCATGCGCTAAGAAAGCATAAAGTACAGCGGACAAAGCCCACATATCAAACAAAACTTCAAGCTTAAGCAGTGAAGAACCAAGCAGAATATTCCACCTAAAGTATTCGAAAGTAAAAAGAAAACTGAAAAAAAAAGAAAAAAAAATGCAACATCGAGTTCACAAACCAGGCTTTTCAAGATGCAAAATAACGTTGAACATGCCTTTACACCAGAAAAACTATTAAAGCTAATGAAGTTTAAAATCATAAGTTAGTGATCCAGATAAAGAGACTCCTCCAAACGACAGCAAATGATATGAACGTGAGATATAAAGTAGCATTTAACCTAGCGCATAGACTACACTTACAGTCAATACCAATATTAATAGCGTACACTGCTCTTCTCTGTGTATACACTGAAAGTTAACATTACTAGAAAAGCAAAACATTTACTTCCCCCACAACAAACTTATGCTCTCAAGTGCAACAAAAATAACAACTAAGAACAAACGCAGCAATTCTAGGCGCAGTAGCTCAACTCCTAAACTGCATTATTGAAACTGCAAGTTGTACACTGACATTTAAGTGAGCAAAAAAAAAAAAAAAAAGCAGACTACAAAAGATTCCACAAGAAAAAGAATATTAATCCCAACTTCTTCTCCCGAAATTATCATTGTATAATGATAAAAAAAGCAACGTACAAAAATACCTATATGAAAAGCAAAGAAACTTTCTAAAAAATAGGTAATAAAACAGTCGCAAAACTGTTCAATTAGCCTCGTCTTCTTTTTTAAATAGCTTGAAGGCATCGCGTGATCTAAAGGTCTTAAAAAAAATCAAAATGAGAAATGCTGAAGTATGATTTTTGATTAAGCAGAAAGCGTAAGGTCCAGAAAAATCATTAGTGGAAAATTTTCTCAAAGAAAAGTTGGGACATATAACAAGACAATCCTTACCTTCGGAATTCGGTATTTTAAGCATTAGATATGCATTCGTTAAACAGCATCCAACTGTCTTGACCTCAGTACACGAATGTAAGAAAATAAGTATCGTTTCTTGGCATATTCTTGATAGCCGTAATTAACGGAAAAACGCAAAGCTCAACGAACGGTCCCGTCTTCCTCCAACAAATTTCGTAAGGACAGAAAACCCCTAATGTAAATCATAAACGTGAACCAAAGCTCGAACAGCATTAGAAACAAAGAAATTAAAGCATAGCGCCAGAAAAGAAAAGAAAAAGCATATCCCTTGAAGAAAAGACATATTTCTTCCTCCAGCGTCGAACACTCATTTGTACAGTGGTTCTGAGGGACAAATATGGATAAACCAACCGAACTTACAGACAGCATTTCATTCCTTCAACGGTGACCAGTAAACCGACTATACAGCGTTTTCTCACCAAAATTATTCACCGCAATAAGCCAAAAAAAAAAAAAAAAAAAAAAAAAAAAAAAA